CAAAAGTACATGTGTGGCTAGTTGTATCCTCGTGAAAATTGATGTAATATCATATTTATCTGAATAAAGCCAAGTGCGGGGGCCTAAGTAGTCATCTTAATATTAAAAAAAAAAAAAAAAAAAAAGCTGACATTATCTATGCTCAACTGTTTCAAGTAGCTTCTAACATAAAAAAGGAAATAATAAGAATAACTAAAGCAGAAAGAATAATCATAACCAAAATAGCAGAATTCTGTCTTAAGCAAGATAAAGATTTAAAGATTACCTTCATATATTGCGAGGCACAAGTTAAAGGACACCCAATTCTCTTGATGTTGGATAGTGGGTCTTCCGGGTGTATAGTTTCAGCAAACTTTCTGAAAGACAAAGACATATCAATTGATCGCTCTTCAACAGTAGTAATGATTGGGGTACATGGGGAACAAAAATGCCCTTTAGGTAAAATAGATAAATTTCTAATAACTGTTGGAGACAAAATAATCACTTTGCGAGCCATCATAACAGATGCTGGAAACTACACAGTAATTGTCAATAACAATTAGATAAAGGAGGCATGAGCGAGATTAGATTGAAAAAAATACAAATTAATGATTCGTGTTGGAAATAAAAGGATAAAAATATCGATAAGTATTGTAAACCTGCGAATATTAACAAGCGGATTAAGAAGAAAAGAAATTCAGCTACAAGTGATAAGAGTATCGAGGAAGAGAAATATACATCAGAAGAAGAAACTGAATCAGAAAAGGACAAAAGCAATGAAAATAAAGAATACTAAGCCAAAAATTTGATAAGTAAGACATACCTCTATTGGGAGTTCAGAGAAGTTAAAGACGAACTTGAAAGTTGTGAAAAATATTGGAAAAGGGGTCATAGTACTGAAGAATGTATCTTCAATAATAATCCAGAAGTAGAAACTATATATATAAGTAAAGAAAAGGAAAGTAAAGATTTTAATTTAGAGCCAATAACATGTCAACAGAAAATACAATTAAAAACACTATTGACTAAATACAAGAGTACTTTTATGAAAGAATCTGGTCAGTTGGTGAAAACCTCTGTAATTCAACATGAGATATTTACCAAAGATGGTCCCCCCAATTAAGCAGAATTCTATCCCACTTCCAAATCTGAATACGATTTTATAAAAACTGAAATATAACATATAGAGAAAGCTAGAATTATTCAGCGATCTTATAGTTCATAGACTTTGTCTATAGTATTAGTAAAAAAGAAAAATGAGTTTATAGGATTTTGTATAAATTTTAGAAAACTCAATAAAGTGACAAAACAAGATAGCTACTCTCTTTCTAGAATCAATGAATTATTAAGTACCCTAAAGCAACCTGCTTGGTATACCACTTTTGACTTGGCAAGTGGGTTCTGGCAGCATCTACATGATAAAGAAAAATAGTATTTACTTCTAGGTTTGGGTTATACAAGTTTAATGTAATGCTTTTTGGGCTTACGAATGCACCAGCAACTTTTCAAAAGTTAATGAATAGGGTCTTACAAGATGTTATGTGAAAATTTGCTTTAGTTTATATTGATGACATGACTATTTTTTTCTTTATATTCAAAGATCATATGATTCATCTGGATGAAGTTTTTCAACAAATTCAAGTTACCAATTTGCAGTTAAACAAGAAAAAATGTTATTTCAGCCAATGAAAAATAACCTTTTTAGGTTATGAAATCTCAGAATGAGGAATAGCACTCAGGAAAATAAAAGTTAAAGCCGTAAGATATTTTCTCACCCTGAAAAATCTTAGAGCACTCCATAGATTTTTAGGTCTTGCAGGATTTTATAGAAGATTTATGAAAGATTTTGCAAAAGTTGCAATACTTTTATACAAATTGTTGAAAAAACAAATACCATATAAGTAGAGTAGCAATCAACAAATTGCATTCAAAAATTTAAAGAAGATATTAACTACTGCTCTAGTACTAGCACATCTTAATGACAATAAAGGATATATTTTGTATATAGACACTTCTCATTTGGCTTTGGGAGCTATATTAGCCCAACTTGATAACAAAAAAAAGAAACATGTTATCGAGTATGCCAGTAGATCAACTAGTCTGGCTGAAAGAAACTATACGATAACTGAACTGGAATATATGGCAATTGGATAGGCAGTAAAAAAGTTTTATATATACTTATACGGAACTAGATTTACTATAGTTACTGATCATTCAGCATTAGTATACTTAAATAATATAGTAAATCCAACAGGTCAAATAGCTCGATTAATAATGAATTTACAAGGCTATGATTTCATAATTAAATATTATTTGGGTAAACAACTTTTATACATAGATAGATTATCTAGAATTGAATATTAGAATAAAGAACCAAAATTAAAAAAAAAAAAAAAATCTATAATAGTATTTGCACTAAAATCTGAAAACCAGAATCTAGTTTAGGTTTTGATGTCCTGGCATATATATATATATATATATATAAATTTCAATGGAAGAAAAGAACTATTAAATTCTAGTAAAATACTTCACCGATCTAACCATACCTTTGGATTATACCAAAGAACAAACCTGAAAATTCAAGTCTCAAGTTTGATATTATATAGTTAGAGAAGGTATTCTATATAAAAAAAATAAAAATAAATCTATGAATCCTCTGAGGGTGATTTGACAAAAAGAAGTCCAAACTATATTAGATGCAATATATAGAAGTGCAATAAGAGGACATATAGGAGAGAAAGCTACAATTCAAAAAATTTGTAAAAGATACTATTGGCCGCAGATGATTACTGATATCAAAGATTTTATAAAAAGATATGTGGTTTGTCAACAAAGAGAAACCAACTACGTATGAACCTCTACATCCTATAAATCCAGCATGACTATTTAACAGAATTGAAATCAATTTCGTTGGCCTGCTGCTCAAGACAAAAAAGGGTAATAAATATTTAATCGTAGCAACCAAGTTCTTCATGAAGTAGCCAGAAGTGCGAGCTCTGCCTAGAAGACATGAGTGTCTGAAGGAAATTGTCTCAGACCAAGACACTCATTTCAACAATAGGGTGATCAAAGGCCTCTGTAAAGATTTAGGGATTAAACATGTAATATCATCAACTTATTATCCACAAATGAATAGCCAAGTTGAGAAGTTTAACCAAACCCTATGTGAAATATTATCTAGATATATGATACAATATGTAAAAGATTGGGATGAATTCATACAATTAGCACTATTTATTTACTACACAATATAATACAATACTATGCAGTATGAGCCATTCTACTTAGTCTATAGAAGAGAAGCCTGACTACTAGTCGAATTAGATGTAATAATATATCCTACTGAAGAATTAAATAAAAAAAAGGCACCATTAGTGATCCTTACTAGAATAGTAACCATCATAAACAACTTAAAGAAATCACATGCCTAAGCACTAGAGAATATCAAATGATCACAAGAAAAACAGAGATTGAATTATAATAATCGGCATACTTTATGTAGTTTTTCTATTGGAGATAAGATTTGGTGATATAGAGTAAAACTTAATACCTAAAAAAGTAGAAAGCTAGAGCCAAAATGGCTTGAACCCTATTGGATATATGAAACATTTAGTAATAGAACATATAAATTAAGAATATTAAATGGAAAAGTACTAGTTAAGAGTGTGCATAGAAACCTACTAAAACCATATATTAATCGAAACATTTCATTATCTTTCCCTGAAATATCAAATAGTGGAAGTTAATAATGGTAAAAAAAAACAAAAAAAAAAAAACTATAAAAAAGAAAGAAAGTTGATCTGGAAATTCTGAAAAACAAAAGGAATCTGAATTAATAATAGACAATCAAATACTATTCAAAAAAAAAAAAAAAAACAAAAAACCACCAGAATAGAGCATAGGCTCGAATCCATTAGATCCCAAGTACAGAGATTAGCTGCCACTCTAGAACTGGGTGAATCTATACTTTTAGATCATGACTGAGTAACCTTTCAAATGTCTATTCAGGAAGCTACCAAATATATTTCTCTACCTGAAAGAAAAACTCTAGCTGAAAGAATTAGAGAAATATGTTTATTTACCTTCAAAACATAGATTGTGAAGAACCAAAAAATCTTATTCTTCCTTCTAAAGTTCCTGATGAAAATTGGGACAAAAAATTAGCCAATTCTTGTCAAAGGATACTTGGATTAAATACACAAGGGAAATCAAATTCTCAAATCTTAGAAGCCTATTATCAAGTAGGATCTATTCTGGCTAAAAAGAGGTAGGTGATACTAGCAGGAAAAAATTTAATTCATATTTCTCTCTAGCAAAAGGAAAAGAAGTATGAAGGATTTTTAAAAGAGTGTTTCAATTGTTTATTGCTAGAGAAGAAGGGTATCTGTATTTAGTAGAACATATTAATATTACTGTTTTTGAGAAAATGTATGATAAAGACTTCTCTGATAGGCTGCTGGCCGAAGCTAGGCTTCGAAGACAAGAAAAGTTATACTGATCCTTTAACAATTCAATGGAGCTCATCTTTCCAAGCAAGGGATAATGTCATGTATTAAATTTTACTTTTCTATTTTTATTATATAATTTTTTTTTTTTTTTATTTAGTATTATTGTTATAATATTTTATATTTCAGAAAAGGATTGCTGTAGCATGGTGGGTGGATTAAATCCCCAATTAATTGATTAAATCTCCAATTGGTTGATTAAATTCCCAATTGACTAATTAGATCTCTAAACAACTAATTAAAACCTCAAACAAGAGTAATATCAATCAAAAGATATAAATAGGCTAGGTTTTAGCATGTAGAACAAAATTAATTATTGCTTGTAATAGTTTAAAGTTTTAGTTGTATTCATGTTTGGGTATAATTCAATTGTAATAAATTTATTTGAGAAACTTTAATAAAAGAGAAACCTTAACCTGTAATTTTGAAAGTCAATTTATATTTTTAAAATTATATTAAACTCATAATTATACTACATAGTTTTAACTTCTGATCTATCTACTACATGATATATATAAATCATACCTATTTTGTTTACGATTAAAGCTAAACCAGACTCAAATATCCCGAAGCTCTCTCACTTGACCGTAATACTAGTAAATAAGTAGTTATTTTTAGCCCTGATTAGAACCTTCCTGAAACTAGTTTTGGGTAGGCTTTATTTTGAGGCCAACTTCAATTATAACTATACTTAAAACACAATAGGATATATTTATGATAAGTAAATAGGAGGGTTGGTATAAAATAATAAGATTGTTTATGGATAACAATGGTGAGGTATTAAGATAATAGGTCAGTGATTTAGGTAGCACTTAATAACAATTCTAGGGTAACAATAATACTAAGAAATAAATAAAAAAAATTCAACAATCATGTTTAATAACTGTCATGGGGTTAATAAATGTTTGTGACAAATAATATTATAGCTTTAGTTTTATTTGGTTTTCGTAGCACTTGCTTATATTTCCTTTTCGCTCTCACACATTCACACCTGACAACCCTTATGAGTTACTTCAACCACGTCCTACTCAAATTAGGACCGCATCACTACTACTAAAGTTCAGGTTATGTTTACTGGAAATTTGAAAAGTAGGTTTGATCTCTATGATCGACTCTCATATTTATTTACTTAATTATACATGATTATATAATAGACCTAAAACAATAAACTATTTTATTATATACTTTACATTGTTAGATATGCTCATGATTACGCACATCTTATCACCCATTATTACACTAACTACAAATTACTTTGTTACCCTGCATCTGATGCCCAGCACTAAGTACA